CATCCTGGCTTGTATCAGGAATAGTGTGGCCAGCAGGAGCAGGGAGGTGATTGTCCCACTGTACTCCGCGCTGGTGAGGCCGCCCCTGGAACACCGTGTTTAGTTTTGGGCCCCTCAGTACAAGAAAAACATTGAGGTGCTGGAGTGTGTCCAAAGAAGAGCAATGAAGCTGGTGAAGGGTCTAGAGAACAAGTCCTGTGAGGAGCAGCTGAGGGAACTGGGGTTGTTTAGCTTGGAGAAAAGGAGACTCAGGGGAGAGTGTATCACTCTCTACAACTACCTGAAAGGTAGTGAGGTGGGGGTCAGTCTTTTTTCCCAAGGAACAAATGACAAGACGAGAGGAAACAGCCTCCAGTTGCACCAGGGGAGGTTTAAATTTGGTATTAGGAAAAATTTCTTCACCAAAAGGGTTGTCAAGCATTGGAACAGGCTGCCCAGGGAAGTAGTTGAGTCACCATCCCTGGAGGTATTAAAGACCGTAGATGTGGCGCTTAGGGGCATGGTTTAGTAGTGGACTTGGTAGTGTTAGGTTAATGGTTGGAATCGATGATCTTAAAGGCCTTTTCCAACCTAAATGATTCTATGATACTATGATTCTAACTGGTCATTAAAATTTAGTTTCACCTGCTACTATTAACATAAATACATTAAGCATTTTTACTATTACTGAGTGATCATTACAGGAAAGTATTAAAGTTATTTGGTATCTTAATTATGGATGTGAATATTATTTGTACTGCTTATTCTGATGCATCTTAATTCTGCTATAAATTTTAAGGGGACAAATGACGATGAAAACGTCCAATTACATTAAGAATGAAAACGTGAGACATAAGCCTCAAGATTTTACGAGGACCAAGACTCATCAAAGCCCTGGCTGACACAAAAGACAGATGTGTAAGTTTTCTAATAGTTCACCTAACCGCCAACAATGTAGAATTTCACTCCTCGGTGTGGCTGAGAAGGTTTGGGTGTGGAGATCTGGATGAGTGTTGCAGGGAAACAAAATCTTGTTTGAGGAGCTGCCTGCATTACACTTGCCTGGGCTACAGTTTAAAAGAATCAGAGAACGACTGAGGTTGGCAGGGATCTCCAGAAATCCTCTAGTAAACCTCCCTGCTCAAAGCAGGGGCACCTAGAGCAGGCCCATTCCAACCAGGTTTTGAGCATCTCCAAGGATGAACGCTCCACAGTCTCTTTGGGCAACCTGTTCAATCACCCTTACTGTAAAACAACAGATGACTATAAAGTACTAATTCTCACTGGAGACACATTACCCCTAACTGTTCTTAAAATGCTAAACTAAAGCATTATGGAAAGGTCACAGCTATACTGGAACAGTAGTACTGCAAGAAGCTATTTGAGTTTGTAGTCCAACTTTGCTGAGCTAACTGGATACCTCACAGGAGAAAAAATTCTCAGAGGGAAACACTACTCTCAGAAACTCTCCTGAACACTTCTCATAACAAAGCTGATTACTTGTCTGCAAGACAGCAAATATAATGCGTTTTCTACAGCACATTCCAACTATCAACACCCTCCTTTAAGCAACTAAGGCAATTCATATTCAGAGCAACTAAGGCGATTCTCAAAGGCAAAATACATAATGTCTTCCACAGCTCTGGAAGCAGACAATACGTTGCAGTTACTTAATAATCTTACTGAACTTATGAGGACTGAAGGAAAGACAGAACACTGCACAGCTCAAGATGTAGGAAGAAATCCCACAGAATCTCTTAATCAGACATAAGGTTTTCCTATTTTACTATGACACCTCCCTGCTGGAACCAATGGTTCAGAGCTTTAATTAAGTTGCCAAATTATATCTGCATTCAGAGATACGGACTACAGAATGGGGATCTGTTGAGACAGGCATCTACCAATACCCATCTGGAATCTGCTACTTCCTATCATCTCACTGTATATTCAGTTGTAGAAACAGACACTGTAGTGTATGTACCTTTACATAATTAACTTCAATATAAATTTAACAAGTAAGATTTTACTTTAATCATATTTTAATTACACAATTTATTTACATAACACTGCAGGACATAGTGCACTATGTATTCATTCACACATGCTGCAATGAAGATATTACTGCACAGCTGCAAGAGTACAGTTTCCTAGATGGACACGGGAATAGTAGTACAGCCTTAAATGCATTGTTCTTCCTAACCTACCTGAATCTTTGCGCCTGGTGATGCACTGGCCCTCCAAACCGTCTAGCTGGTGAATGACACAGCTGCGATAACAGTGCCACATTTTTGTTCTGGTTAGGATTGGCTGCAAACTTCACTGTAATGGGTTCGGAGGAACCTGGGGGTTTGTGACCATTGAAATTTGTAATTGCCTCTTCTGCTTCTGACCTTTTGTCAAACCGGATAAATGCGACCCCTCTGGACAAACCTTTTAACCAAACCAATAAAAAAAAATAAAAAATTGAAGTTCAGGATAAACTCAAAATAACTTTGAAAGCAAAAAACGGAAAAAGTTAAATATTTCTACGGTCACAGCTTTCAAGTTCTCTACATTTACTAATGTTTCTTCAGCAGCTAGAGGATAAAGTACAAAATTAAGAAACAAAAGACAAATTAACACATTCATTTCAGCTATAACGACCACAGTGACCAAAACACTTAAAAAATAATCCAGTGTGGTAGAATTCCATGAAATCCATCACCAACTGCCATTTCCATTAACAAAAAAAACCTCCCAACATTTGAAATGAATTCCACAAAAAAAATAAACAACAAAACAAAACCCCTTAGCTTTGATTATTTTATCACTAAAAAGCATCTGCAAACACAAAATTGGCACTGATTTTTCCAAATGTTTTCAGTTTTCCACACTGAAAACACGCTCTGGTTCATAGATGAGGGCATGAAGGTCTAACTCTGCTAAAGTAGTTTAAGCTTGTGTAATGAAGAGATCACAATTTCATCTACATCACAGCCATTATTTCTAGCTCTCACATACCTTATTTTTAATTCATTAAAAACCCATTAAGAATTACCTCTTCGTAACTGTACTGAAACAATTACACTGCTGTTAAACATTTGCATCTTTTTTTTTTTTTTTAAGTAGTTCCAGACCCCAGCCACTGGATGCTGTTACTCTTCTGACCGAGGTAAAAGTTATGAGACCTCTCCCCCCACCCATATAGGGCAATCTTCAAAGACAGTTTCAGAGGTTGTTTAAGCTTATCATAAATCACGAAGTTGTTTATAACAATTGAACATTATTTCCTGTATTTCACAGATGGAAATGCAGCACGACAAAACCCTGTGCATGCAGCAAGAGGGAATCCAACCCCTGCAACTACCCATAGAATGGTCTCTAGGAAAGGCGTATTTTCATCTGGGGCACTGGGAGAACTTCCATAAATAACAACTCATCTTGTTTACTGCATGTTGTTAAGTGTGCAAAGCCACACAGAGAAAGGCTGTTTTCCTAAGTCACTGTATTTTTTGAAGAAAAGAACTGCAGAACAACGGTGGGAGATGGCTAGCACCAACTGTGCAGCCGGTGGTTTCTAGAGTGATCTGGAAAGCAGTCAACCTGTGAAGAGGTTATGCCATTTTTTGACTTCTTGCTGGTTACTTCCAAAACAGGAGGCTGAACTAGATCAGCTCATCAAATTAGAGCTGGCAGCACTATATGCTCCAATACCATTGAGATTAGCCTTTCTGTGCTGGGAGGAAGCATATGCCCCACCCCAGAAAGGCGCAGAACAGCAGCATTGCCCAGAAGTCTGCAAGGACTATCCCAGAGCCAAACATACTGTTACTTCTTCTCCACTTCCACGCTGTTCAACTTAGCACTTCCCACTTGATCTATCTTAGTGTTCATTTAAAAATATAAATATTGTAGAAAGCATATTTTGAAATGGATTAATTCTCAAAAGCTAGAGAACAACCTCTGCTGAGAGGGTGCATCTAAAAGCTCAAATTAGCATTTGTCCTAACTTGGACTAGATCAAGATATGAAACGCAGGTTTTAAAGCCAAGGCATGGCTAAATTCTTGAAGTGAAAAGAAACTTAGGCTGTGCATGCGTTAAACTTCATAATGTAAACAGAATACATTCTTCAAACAATACAGTCTTAAGGTTATTTGAAAGCAAGTGGTTTATTCTGAGATGACACTGAATTCGACAGCATCATGCCTCAGCACACTCAATGAAAACTATATTGTTCCAGGAGAGATTTTAATTGTATGACTTCTGTCATCTCATTTGATAGCTCTGTCAAAGACAGATGCTAGCTATCTATACTCCACTGGCAGCCAGAGAAGGATGACTGTTTTGGACACATATTAATAAGTTTTCTGTGCTCTAGAGGTCTTTTTCTCGCTTCCACCTGTAGCTGTCGCCTAGATAACTAGCTCTAGAGACAGAACCATGCAGATATCAAGGTTGGACAAAATGAATCCTCTCTAGGAAAGGAAGGATAGGATTTTCCTTGCTCAACATCGGAGTGTCTACAATGTCAGTATCCCGATCTCATCTAGTCACCTCAGCTTTCTTTTATGCACAATCGCATTTACAGTGCAGTCTGGCCAAATCAAAACACTTAAAAGCAGATGCCTACCCAAGCAGCTAGCTCTAATGGAGATACTTAACATTGTAGACTTTAGCATTTAGTCAGATTAATCCCACCAAAAGCTGCTGATGGCCTACTCTAAACGACAGTAGATTCCTCAAAGAGCATGAAAGTTGCTGCTTAACTACTGTGTATAAATATACATACTACCGTATATAAATGTTAAATGTACAATTGCTAGAATTAGATTATCTTCTCTTCTAACATAGCACATGCATAATCAATGAAAAAGCGTATTTGTAGAAGTTCTCTCCAAATTCATACGTGACATATGGGCTACTGGGAAAAAAAAACAACCCACAAAACAAAACACAAAAAAACCCCACAGAACGCCTAAGGTTACAGGATAAGCCATACTCTTCAGTTATACAGCCTGAAATAATTAGGCAAGAAATTAAAACTCTGTGAAAACACATTGTAACACTGAGTCAGAATTAACATTATAAAGGAAATCCTTAACTTTGGTCTCTCCTGAGCTGAGTGCTTAACTAAGCAACTTTTCTTTCTCATTTTCTTTTTATAAACAAAATGCATTCAGAAAATTCAAGGGGGTAGTTCTAAGCTTATTAAGTTCATTCTTTTGGTTAGCAGTAACCACAGAGGACTGTAAGATACCTCAAATGTTTTAAAATATGAAGAAATTGTGTGAGTGAGTCCAAAGTTGGTATAAAAGACAAAACACATTATTGTTTTGCTTTTTAATGTATAACTATGGCCTGGAATTTACCTGTGGATAAGTTGCATTTGTGTAAAGTAAAGGTAACATTAGCACTCCAGATTACAAACATTGCCCAGAAGCACACTGCACTACAGTAGTATCAAGTGTCATAGCAAGAGAGTAGATTTGACAAACCAGAAGCTCGGCTTGGTAAAACTGACAATAAGAACATAAAATATGATACAAGGTTTAGATTGTAAGCTAGTGACGGAGGCAGCGTAAGTCATTCTGTGTTTTAAAAAAATTATTGGGAAAGGATATCCCATTAAAATCATTTCAGTGGTTGACACCAGATGTCATGGTAGTTTGTGAAAGTCTAATTTAGTTTAGGAACTACCAGTCTCTGAAAAAACGTAAAACATGTTGTATACTTCCGTTTTATGAAGCTAGTGCAACAGAACTCACCTGTAGTTTGATCCACAAGCACACGCGAGTTGATGATGCGTCCAAAACGTGAAAACATATCTTCTACATCTTTTTGTGTCATTGACCGTGGTAGTCCACTAATATATAAATTAGCATCCTTGATAACTTCAGAACTTGGACGAGCATAGGAAACCTTTAAAAAGAAGAAGAAAAAAAAAAGGTATGTTCAGGGTATAAATATGATAGAGTAATTTATTTTGTCACGAGTCACTTTCCTTTATTCCCCACTAAACAGCGCAGGCATTTTTATTGGAGTTCAAAAAAGCAGAACAGGGAGAAGGTAAGGGAAAATTGCCAGATGTCCCTATATAACTCCATTCATTTTCGGCTTATCCAACAGGTAAAGAATATAGTGGCATTGCTATAAAGAAACACCAGTGGACTAATACCAATGCTTCCAAACACATTTGCTACATAGAAGAATCCCTGTCTGAAGTTCCTGACTTGAATACCGGACCTGTCAGTAACCACAGACCACACCAAGAACTTGTGCTGTCAGTATATTTTTTAAAGCCTCATAAAAAGATTTTACCAGCTGGAGTGCAGTTTTCTATCTTAATTTCTGCTACTAGATAAAGTTACAAATATCACCTAAGCAGGTGTGATTTCCTACACATACAGTACTAGCTGTTATTTTGGAAAAGGAATGCATGTGTATTAACACGTTTTAAAATAGAGATCATCAAGTATCTGAGATATATGTGAGTTCAAAAGTCTGGCAACAATTTGGAATGATCCCACCTACTGCTGTAAAAATGGTGGGAATGAAAAAAAAGGGAATCTTTGAATACAAAGCTGTTACAAAACCCAAGAGGCTTAACAGCTCACTTTACTACTATTCTCCCAGATTCTGCCTTTCTTGCAGTTGGAGAGCACACACGCCTTACCACCAGAATGAAGTTTATTAGAATGCCACTTTCACAGATGATGGAAAAAATATAGACATCCTACCTTGATAGTTTTTGACTGAAGTCTGAGGCCATTCAGTGTATTTATTGCTCTTTCAGCATCTTTTGCAGTAACGTAGTTCACAAAGCCATAGCCTAAGCTGTGTCCTACATGGAAGAACATTTTTTAAATTAATCCTAACAAAAAGAAAGTTATCACCATCAAAATTAAAGGAAATACTTAAATAAGCCAAAAAAGTTTCTCAAGGGTGACATACATCATATGAAGTAACTCAAAGATCTTTCATTTGCTACTTTGGACATCCCACTGCCTTCAAGGACAGCGTTGTGTCAGACAGCTGCAGATGATCCATCAACAGTAGGAAATTCAAGACTAAGATACCGACTCTGAACAGTCTTGTAAACTTAATGAGTGTGGAACAAAGGCAAGAATTTAACAAAATTCTTAAGTACAAACTCTTGTAGATAAAGAGCAGAAAGTGAGAAAGTGTCAACAGATGAACTGCTGGGTAAGAAATCATCAGGCTACTCATTCCTGCGTAGCTATTCCAACCTTCACTCCTGGAGACAAGAGGGAAAAAGAAGTTTTCAATCCTTTATACATTCATACAGCCAATGAGCAGTAAGTCTCCCAAACACAGGATGAAACTGAAGTGTGAAAAATTCTCTTTAAAGCAAACAATTCATGTACTATTACTTTTAAGTTTAATCTTAACTCTTACAAAAGAATATGAGAATAGTAATACAAATCTTTAAAACATTTAAGGCAAAGCATATTTATTTGGATTTTTATTTGTTCTGCTTCTATCTCCAACCTCCACAGATGCTACTATCAATTATAACACTACATACTAAGATCATTTTGGGTTGCACTTTCCCCAAAATTATAGGCTCTTATCACTGTAGACCTAAAAATAACTAAAATACTTTCAAGGCTGTCTCAGTGCAATAAAGCAACTCCCATTCAATAAAAGACACAGCTTTTTCAGACCACTTCTCCTTGTCTCAGCCAGATCTATGGGGTTTTTTTTACAGAAAAGTGTAAGCATGCATAGAAGAATGTGCTATTTTACTTTAACAATATACTATTTTTAAGTTATTGTTAAGCTTTGTTGTTAGGCTTGAGAACACTAGAAGACACAGCTAATGGTTATAGTAGAGGATTCCCTTCTGAAATATAGCCCTTTTTTAAAATCACACAGCATGGCCCTGCAATAGCCTTAGCTGGCAAGGAAGTTTTCTTACGCTTTCTAGACATTTCAGAACACCAAATACACCTCCCCCCAAAAGAAAGAAGAGTCAAATGGTGATTATCCTAGCTCAAAATGTCAGAGAAACTGAAAAAAAAAAAAAAAAAGGGCTGTAACAGACACTGCAGAATAGCTCCGTCTACTGAAAAAAGAATCACCGGTCTACTGAAGGAATTGAGGCCTATGAGTCTAAACGCCACAAGGGGTGGAAGCAAGCTCCCAATAACCCTCACAGTGTTATTACAACAGCTCGCATGGCAGATTGACTGCGGAACAACTGCAACAGCACAACTCCCGGCACATCCTCTGTGTCTGTCTGCTTTGTTGTGAACTGTAAGAGACCAGTAACTCATCTAAAGGCAAATAATGTCGCTGCCTGTTTCCTAATACACTCTGTATGAACAGTCCCAGTTAATTTTTACTGTCTGCTAAGGCTCTTAAAGAAGCCAGATCCCCTTTGTGTTCAACCCTTGTACAGGGCCAATACCCTGTTCTCTTACAGACCTAGTGTTAAAACATCTCACTAGCAGAGATCAAACTCGCATGAGGCCAGACGCTTCTCCACAGCTGTAATAGCAAACCACTCTTCGATAACCAAGTAGGATTTAACTCTGCACAGGAAACAAATAAATGCAATAAAAGAAAATCTTAGACACCAGCTCCTGCACCTTTATCCTTTAAAGATCTACAGATAACATTGCTCAGGATTTTGCAGACATATCTTACATGTACCTACAGCATGTTTTTTGTCGATTTCTTTGTAACGTTCATTTTCTGTTTTATTAGTCAGAGATGGTCAATCATTTAGATCAAATCTGTTTGATCCAATCACTTACCTACTGAGATTCTTTTCCCCTCATTAAGAACATGAGTAATTTAACCATGAGGAAAATGTTTAGCACCTGGACCCTGGCTTATTTCTCCAGAATGTGACCAAGAAAACAAAGATAAACTTGAGAGGGAACAAATATCATGCAGACAGTAGGCAATGACTTTTTCCCCTCCTAAGAGGGAGGGCAGAATCCGACTCCCTTCACAGGTACAGCATGCCAGCACCCAGTCAGAAGGCTCAGAGTACCAGCTGCTTTATAGGTATTTTCAGTCTGTCCCAAAAGCCATATAAACATGAATATTCCAGCAAACTACTGAATAGAACCACGTCCTAATAAAGTTTATGGAAACGGGCCCTTAAAGGCCAGGGAAACAGACTTCAACAAGACTAAGCCCTCTGAGCCTGAACCACTGAGCCCTGGCAGCCAGGGCCGTCACTGCCCAGGTGGACGCTGCACTGGGGAGGGGGTGACTATATTCTGCTGGCAGGGGACAAAGAGTGGGATTCCACACCGTATACATTTTTTAAGCTATCTTTAGTACTCCGAGTCATGGAGACCAGGGGCTTAGCCTATGACCAGCGCGAGTGAGTATCCTTCCCTGTTTTCTTGCAGCAAGTTCCCAGGTAACACAGTAGGCAGCCAAGCGTTACTTACCCAGCGGCTTTCCTGCAAAGCATCAGACAGGTTATGTTTATGCGCTGTTTGAGATCAGTGACAAGGAAGATTAAGCTACTTAGTTTTGGTTTTATCCTGTATGTAAGTAACAGCACGCATGGACACACAGGACCAAAAGGGATCGCGTGATCTGGGTCCAGTCCCTGTAATCACAAACCGTACGTATTCCCTTTCTCGAAAACATAAGCAAGCTTCACATTAAAAGCAGTTAGATTTTTGTCCCAGGCACTCTGATTGAAAGCATGTTCTACAAACTCCCTCCAATGCTCTCCTTTTCTAAATGCAGGTCTTCATACTCCGTATCCACTCGTTCTTGTGCAAATACTGTCCTTGAGCTTACACACACATCCTTCCAAGTGTCTGTTCCCCAAAGTATGCACAAGCAGTGACTATATCCCCTTGCCCTTCTTTACTGTTTTTGTCTGAGCAAAATTCTGCACCTTCTCCACTTTGATTTTATACAGGTTGCTCAATGACTATTCCTTATCAAAGGGTTTGAAAGCCCTGGGAAAAGAGAGCAGGGACATAATGGGGTTGACAGAAACAAACACAGATTAAAAAAAGAAGGCTCTGAAAAGTGGCAGGATTACAACAGTTACCAGAGTTTCTCATATTCACTGTATGCATTTGACAATACATTCATACTAAACCCCAGAAATTATAGTCCTGTTAAGTTTTACCTGCCACTAGACAAGAAAATATCAATTACCTATCTTTCTCTACAACAAACTAGAATACAGACCTTCCCTCTTAGACTACACTTACCATCTTTAAATTACATCAGTGTAACATGACTTTACAGTCCTTCAGTGCTAAAAAAAAGCCAAGCCACGCAAAATTGACAACATGTATTAACTTATCTTGCTCTAAATACTTAATACCATCAGTCTCAGCCACCTCCTGCTGTTCAGTCACTAGTTTTCGCCTCTAAACAGGCTAGGATATCCAGCAGTGATGGGACTGTCCTATGTAAGAGGCACGTTCCACCGTTCCCCTGACAGATCACTCTTCAGGAATACTTTCTGCTTCAGTTTTACTCCATATTCCCTCCTCCTAAACAGTATGAACTACCTTCCTTTTAGGGCATGCCAGAAAATATATAATGCTGTGTAAATGCCGATTCCTTATGATTTATGTCAAGTGTTTATCCCAGGCAAAGAGACAAGTTATTTGCTTTATCATGATGATGTTAAGAGCCTGCTAGAAACCCATCGTACAAAACAAGGCAGTACTGTAACCGTTTTCAAACTATTTTAGTGGATAGTAATTAAAAAACCTTTTAAAAAAACTTTTAAAAAGTTTGCATATACAAAAATGCAAATCTACTCAAGAGACAAAGAGAAAAAAAAGAAACAAGTAGGTCCTTATCTGGATGAATAATTAACAAAGTGACCATAAAACCTAGTTTTAAGCAAACTACTATACTCCTTCAGCAGAAAGAATCTAGTTTTGTTTCCATGATAAAAAGCCCTTTCATGAAAGAGGGCACTCATTTTCTTTCTGTGCATCACTTGGTTTTCTGTCCATGTCCTTGCTTCCTTTCCCAGCTCCCTGAGACGCACTGCTTCAGTTACTTGCTTGTTTCTTATTCCCCTCCTGCTACTGACTGACAACTCCAGTTTCACTGGGGAGTCTAATATGAGACCAGAGCTAGTATTTATTTTCCACTTCACTACAGACTAGCTGCCCCCCCGCAAGGAGCTAACAAAGATTCTCCCCATCCTATCCTTCTCAAGAAAACCTAAATTTAAACCTGGCTCTTGTTATGTCAGAGCACCTCAGTATGAAGGCATTTTCGTTTAGAATTTGCTCTCCGAACTGGGAAACAGTGTTTTGAGTTATATTAAAAAAGCCCAAGTAAATAACACAGAAGGATGGAACAGCTCCTCGTGGAAGGATGCGGCATCTCAGGAAAAGAGTTAGGTTTGGTTTTTTTTCGTTTGTTTGGCTTTACAAGAATATGCTGTGAGTGATAACCAGATAGCTTAAATATGTACAAATGCATCAAGAAATACCACGTCCAAATACCAGACATCAATGTGCTGAAAAAGCGGAATTCAAAGCGGTGACTCTGGCGTCTCAGAGGATAAGAACAGATTAAAAGTGCTCAGATGTGCCTTGTGTGTGCTTTCTTTAGCACAGTTAGACTATTGTATAGCTGGAGATACATAATCACATCAACCCTGAGAAAAATGCAAGCACCCTTGCATCAAACCCAAGAGAAGGGTTATGCCCGTGCAGAAGTGCAGCAAGGTAGGACTGGCAGAGCAAGCGATCAAGAGGCTATATTCTAACCCCCCGAGACGAGTCAACACTATGCATACAGCATCTTTTGTTTCCCAACATCCTAACACCCAGGAGAACAAGCAGATGTGTCAGCAGAGCAGCC